ATTCAGAGGCGGTCTGTTCGGTAAATTTTACTCCAGGAGCAGCGAGGCTTGTTTTCAAGCTTCAAACTGAACTGATGCTGCGTTCAGGACAAGCATGGAAAACTCACCACTCTTATGCCAATACGGTCGCAATGATGCATTTAGGTACCGAAATGGAATTGCATGAACATTCACGTGGTGTTATGTAATACAGCGAATCGATAATAAAAAATCTGCGTCGACAAATTTACATAATCAACATCATCGATTATTTCAACTAATTGGTGCAGCCCTAGTAAACACAAAGGCTGTGTCTCAATTCAGGGGCTGCATCCTTCGAAGGACCTGGCCTACCCAGTCTAGGTGGGCCAGGTTCTTGGTAGACCACGAAGACAGGAAGAAAGTGTCTGCTTTATTCTTACCCTTACCCCGGTGTATGTCCTGTCGCCTAGAACTGTAACGCTAAACAGAAGCAAAAATAGATAAAATTTATCAAAAATATTAATATATTAGTATTATTAATAACACAAAACAACAAAATTAGTTTAAAACAATATTATGGACCTCTTGTAGGTGCATGGTTATTTCTCTATACCAGATTGTTTGATTTCTGACCAGAATAATATTAAAAATAAGTATATAAGTGATAAAAGTATTAACAACACAACTGCTTGAAACTTAATTTTTATGCCACCAGATTTTTTATTTAAATCTGTTCTCCTCTCTCTCACTTCGTCCACCATTACAACCTGCAGTGCATTATGGGATATGGTGGGCTGACCCATCCCTCAAACCGTGGAAAAAGGAGGATGTATTTGTTATTTATTGGCTGCATCAGAGGAGTTTTCATATCTGGACAGCCTCCGGCGCTGTGCTGTGCTGTAAGCAGCCAACACATTCGGCCTTCAGAGGACGCAGCCCTTGAATTTAGACAGTGTCTTTGTCTCACTTCAGGGGTTGCAGCCTGCTTAGCCTGCACAGACATATAACTTCACAAAATTCACTGTTATTTAAAAATAAATCATTAATACTTGTAACTACTTTTTAAGCTCAACAGTAAAAATTATAAACTTAGTTTTCCTGTTCAGTTTGCTGACGGTGCAATGAATCCTGGGATATCTTCGACCATGTATTATAAAAAGATGCAGCCTACATGGTCCCGGTTTTGTCGGCTGCATGAGTAGGTGCAGAGTTGTAAAGTAACTTGCAAAGTAACTAAGTACAAATACTTTGTTACTGTACTTAAGTAGAATTTTTGGGTAACTGTATTTTACTTGAGTAATTATTTTTCAGCCTACTTTTTACTTCTACTCCTTACAGTTTTTAAAAAAAGGCAAGAAGTAGAAATTTGTTACTTTTATTTCATTTTTGCTTGTTTTCATTCCAGCTCATTATTGTAAAAAATAAATACTATCCATATAAACTGTGCCTCCTAGATAGAGTGAATTTAATTGTAGTTTTAT